GTTCAGGCCAGGCCGGGCTGAGGCTCATCAGTCACAAATGTGACTGGGCTGCTTGGCACATCCAGGGCATGGTCTGGCCACTGTTGCCAGTGCTCACTCAGTGGCCAAATGTTTTTTAATATCTCCTCTGAGGCACTGAGAAACTATCTCCGGCCAACAGCAGGACAGACAGAGAGGTCAGGACAGCAGCCTTGTGGGCTGCATGATACACTATGACCCCCTCATGCAGTGCTCCTGCGGCCAATGGCGCACACGGGACCACTCGCCGTCCATGGCTGAAACCATGTGACCGTTTGAGAGGGCGGGCCACACTTTCCCTTGAGGGACGGGGCAACCTGGGGCCGGTGTCTCTGCCGTTACTCAGCATAGCCAGATCACCAGCATATGGTATCCAGGGTGTCCCCAGTGACAACCCCATGGGAGACAGGCCTGGATTTGAATTTGTTGGAATTAAATGTGCTCGTGCTTTGGTCTTTGAAACATTCCTAGTTTAATGCCTTGGTGACATGTCCTCAAGTGACAAGACTCCAGCCTTCCTGGAGGAGGCCTCCCCAGCCTCAGAAGAGCTACAGTCCTTATGGGCAATCACTGGCTCTGCCTGCATTTGCCTGCTCTCTTGAGTCATGCATGTGCATCCCAGAGCCCTGCCTGAGCTTGGATTGGGACCAGACCCAGGCTCCACGAAGTCAAGGGAGGACGCACCTTCCACCTGCTCAGTGTTTCACCCTCTCCTCCGAATCTCCTGGCCACACATGGAATGGGGCAGTATGAGGAAGATTCTGAAAGTAGTGAAGAGTGCACCCATGGCCCTCTGACCTCCAGCCAGAGCAGGGCCTAGGGGAGGCTTAGAGAGGCCAGGGCTGCTCCCATTTATTTTTTTTAAACAGTGTGTGTGGGAGGGGATGGGAAAGCATTATGTTAAATGTTTACATGGAACCAATGAACAACTTTAACACAAAAATACAATGAAACATTCTGGTTTACTTACTGGTGTTAAAGAAAACATGAATTTCTGGCACATGCCGGGCAGTGTGGTGTTTCAATGCTGTTCCAAGTTGGGTGTTGAGCATCTTCTTTCAGTACTGGTGGTGTTTCTGTGCCTGCTTGAAAGTCTCACTCGGAAATAAAGTCAAATGTCTAATTTGCAGTCCCTCCTGAATGTGAGACCCGATCTTGAGGACGATCTAGACACATACTCTGCTTGCTACACCCTCCAGACCCCACTGGGATGGGCCTCCCCTTCCTAATGGGGCAGAGGGGAGGGACAGGCAGCCGCCCCAGGGCCGGGTGGATGTAGGTGGCTGGTGTCTGTACACTAGGGTGAGTGATGTGCTGTGAACACTGGAGTGAGTGATATGGTGTGTGCACGCTGGGGTGAGTGATGTGGTGTGTGCACACTGGGGTGAGTGAAGTGGTGTGTGTACATTGGGGTGAGTGATGTGGTGTGTGTACATTGGGATGAGTGATGTGTATGCACATTGGGGTGAGTGTTGTGGTGTGTGCACATTGGGGTGAGTGATGTGGTGTGCGCACATTGGGGTTGAGTGATGTGGTGTCTGCACATTGACGTGAGTGGTGTGCTCCTGTATGGGCTTCTGTGTGTGAGGGGGTGGGGCACCTGTTTGTAGGGGTTTGCAAATCAAAGATGACACTTACTTACCTGCCTTCCTCTACCTCCCCGTATATCAGGAGAGGCAGACCCTGAATGCCCTAAAAGACAACACTTAAGTCCTCCTCTCCTCTCCAGCCTAACACCACCTTCTTATTCTCTGCCTGCAGGGGCGCTGCCCTGCCGACCCCACTCCCAGTCCCATAGCCCCAGCCAGTCTTCTGGTGGCCTAGCTACTGTATTGCCATCCTACCCGCCTCCTGATGCTCCGGTTGGGCCTCTCGGGCTCTGAGGAGGGCCACAGTCCTCCTCCTGCACAGTCCTCGTGGGCCTGGCACTGAGAGCTGCTGACATCTTGTCTTGAGTCCCCTGGGGACAAGACCTGTGTGCTCACCTTAGTCACTCCCAGAGGGCAAACATGATTTGTACCCATGTGCAGTGACAGAGCATGCAAGGAAACACCCATGGCATGTTTCCCAGCCTCCATGTCACTGGGTTATTCTTTTGATCACATTTCCTCTGCCTGATGACCACCAGTTCAAGACTGCATTCATCAAGTTTCCTGAAGTATTTCCCTTGCATTTCATCAGGATGGCAATCTTATCACTGTCACATGGATGAAGAAGTGTAAGTCCAGCAAAGCCAGGGGCCTGTCCCTACCCATGCACTGACTCGGCAGGATGGCCAGGCTGTCCTCTGCCCCTCATTGTGCCCTGACCTCTGTGCCATAGCGAGGGGAGAGAGGCTCAGGAATGCCATATAGAAAGCAGCAGCCAGACACATGGAGAGACAGAGGTAGCAAGACGATGGGGACACAGAGAGGCTGCCAGGAGCACCTCTGAAACCTGCCCTGGCCCAGAGCTGCCTTCAGTGGCTCTAAATAACCAGCAGATGAGTAGGAGTCTTCGTTCTGCCTTTTACAAACACACAGAAGACAGAAGCATGTGAAGCCCTCACGCTTTGCTAGAACCATAAGCCAAGCCAGCCACTGCTGGAGACAGAATTTGAGCTCCAGTTTGGGACACCAAGCCCAGATTCTCTCTACTGTATGGAGTCCTGGTGCTTTCTTCAGTGTCAAGATCAAAGTCACACTTGCAGGAAAAATCAAAACAAGGGCATAAATAAGATCAAATAAATAATCTATGCTCTCGTGGGCAAATTCTGTTCTACCAGGGTGCTGCCGTGTCTTATGCTCTGCCCTTCCTGAACTCTCCCCTCCCTGATTTCCCCCAAGTTGGACTCTCCCAGCCCTGGGTTCTGCCATCTCTGGAGTCTCCCCTCCCTGGACTCTCCCATCCCTGAACTCTCCCCTCCCTGGACTCTCCCCTCGCTGGGTTCCACCTTCTCTGGACTCTCCCCTCCCTGGGCTCCACCCTCCCTGGACTCTCCCCTCCCTGTACTTCCCCTCCCTGGACTCTGCCCTCCCTGGGCTCCACCCTCCCTGGACTCTCCCCTCCCTGGACTCTCCCTTCCCTGGACTCTGAGCCAAAGTGCTCCAGGGAAGCCAAGGTCACTGTTCTGCAGATTTCTACCTGGACTAGATGCTCTCTTCCAGAATTCTACCAGAGTTGGAAGAGAGGTGGAATCCCAGGTCAGTGCTTCTGAGAGTGTGCAGCCTTGTCTATTTTGAGCCTGGCTTAACTCCCCAGCACAGCTGGAATGGGAAGCCCCACTCCACTGAACGCCAAAGCTCTTTTTCCCTGTGGGACACCAAGGCTTTGGTTCTGTATCCGGCTCTTCTGATTCGTTCTCTCTGCCCTGGACATCAGCTCCTCCTCAGAGTCTTCCTTAGATTTCTGCTATGCCTGCCCCTGGGGCCCCTTATTCTGGGCCTCTTAAGATAGGCTCACCTGAACCTGGAAGGCTGCACACCATCATCTCCAGTCATCCTTACAGTAGCCCTCAGTAAGGTGGGTTTGCTCCTCTGCAGACGAGGAAGGTAGGTGGAAGAGACAGTGCCAGGTATGCAGCAATGGAGCCTGGACCACCCTCACCTCTGGGGGTTCGATCCCTTCCATGACAGCCCCTGCAGCAGGCCCAGCCTCCAGCTGTGATGGTGCAAAGAGACAGAGGAGAGGCCAGTAGGGCCACACTGGCCTTTCACCTGCAAGGGACCTGGCTCTGAGAGCGCTCCAGTGTTCACAGGCTCGGGTGTGTGGCCCAACAGGCGCTCAGGCTCTGGGCTTGGTTGAATGGTCTGCTGTTGCCATCTTGAAATGTGTAATAAGTTTTGAACAAGGGGCCCACATTTTCATTCTGCACTCAGCCCCACCAACAATACAGCCAATTCTGAATGCATGTAGAGGGTGGCATCTTGGTTTCTCAAGTCCCTGAGGTACTCGGCAGCTATTTCAGGCCTCAGGAGTGACTTGGTCCTGGGAAGACAGGAGTCTGAACTTTGCTGCTAAGTCAGCCCTGCCCGCCTCCCCAGGTGCAGGATGAGGAAGCCCTGAGGTTTCTCCAATGTGTCAGCCGAGGGCAGGAAAACTGTTCATCTCTCAAAGGCTGGCCTGTGACATGGTGCATCAGTGCCTTGGGGGAGGGGTCAGAACTGCTGCCATTTCTTCCCTGTCCTTCTCCCAAGGAAACCATGCCCAAGACGGGCCACACCTCAAATCAGCAGGGAACACAGATGGTTTATGCAGGGTCAGATTGAAGAAACCTTCAGAACATTTTTCTTTTCCTTTACAGGTCGTAGAATCTGAGCCTTGGAAGATAGCACCTACTCCAGGTAGAAATCTGCAGAACAATGACCTCAGCTTCCCTGGAGCACTCTGGCTCAGCCACCCACCACTCCTCCAGAAAGCCCAGATCATGTGAACATGCCCATTTATCAGGAGGATGTGCCCAGGCCTGAGCCAAAGTCCATCTCTTCGCAGCACCCTCTCATGAGCGTCTGCTCTGACTCCAGGGTCCCCTTGGTCCCAGAGAGCCGTGACATAAAAGCCATCTCCCTGGAGAGCAGAGGGGTTTAGGCTATGGTAGAAATGGGCAGGGTTCAGGCCAACCAGGGGCCAGGGGCTGGGTCACTTTCTGGATCAACGTGAGAAAAATGAGGACAATGAAATATTGTTTGTAAAAGCCAAATACAGTTTGGGAGTGTTCAAATATCTTCCTACTTTCTAGGAAATAATAGCCACAATAAGTAATAGGTTGATTTTTTTTAAATAACATTCAGACTTGGCAAAATAAAATTGCAACAACTCGGCATTGATTTTCAAAATGATTATTTGAGACAGGGCCTTGCTCTGTTGCCCAGGCTGGAGTGCAGTGATCTTAGCCCACTATAACCTCTAATTCCTGGGCTCAGGCAATCCTCCCTCTTCAGCCTCCCAAATAGCTCAGACTGCTACTACTACATGAGTCCTGACCGGAGCCCAGAGTCAGGGAGATGAGGTGCATGCAGATGCTGGTCCCGCCCAGGCGTCGGCACTGGCGTGCCCTGAGCCCTCAGTGGAAGGCGGCTGCTCTTACCACTAACCAAAGGATTGAAGATCAGATCAACGAGAAGTTTCTATTAAAGAGCCTCCCAATACTCATAGTCTTTGAAAGAGAAATCTTGACTCCGTGTCTGTATCTTAAAAATCAAAATTTAATATGGAAAGATTCAATATATTAATTTTAATTAAATCAATTTTAAAAATAAGTTTAGCTTTGTCTCTTCCTCGGCGCTGCCTACGGAGATAGCAGCGATCTCCTCCTCAGCGTCACAGCTGCCCTTAGACCCCTTGTGAAATCCAAGATCGTCAAAAAGAGAACCAAGAAGTTCATCCGGCACCAGTCAGACCAATATGTCAAAATTAAGCGTAACTGGCAGAAACCCAGAGGTATTGACAACAGGGTTCGTAGAAGGTTCAAGGGCCAGATCTTAATGCCTAACATTGGTTATGGGAGCAATAAGAAAACAAAACACATGCTGCCCAGTGGCTTCCGGAAGTTCCTGGTCCACAACGTCAAGGAGCTGGAAGTGCTGCTGATGTGCAACAAATCTTACTGTGCTGAGATCGCTCACAATGTTTCCTCCAAGAACCGCAGAGCCATCGTGGAAAGAGCTGCCCAGCTGGCCATCAGAGCCACCAACCCCAATGCCAGGCTGTGCAGCGAAGAAAATGAGTAGACAGCTTATGTGCACGTTTTGTGTTTAAATAAAACTGGCATCTTCCTTAAAATAAATAAATAAATGAGTAAGTTTAGCTTTAATTTAGTGTAATTTGATGTTAACTGAACATCGCTTTTCCTAGTGAAAACAGGAAACTATCTAAAATGACCAACAGGAGAATAATTTAATGAACTATGGTTAGTTCCCTTCCTCTTTCTTCCTCGACCTGATTTGGGGTCAGGTTAGAAAGCATCCAATTTTTCTCCAGAAGTCACTGGGGCACATGGCTGAGGGGCAGCAGGAGACAGAATATAACAAGACTGTGTTTCTCCAGTTACCCCAGAGACCAGCCTCTTTTTAAGCCTTAAACAACACAGGTTTGAGTTGAAGCAGAGCCTGACCAGGGGTGACAGTTCCCTCACCCACCCTATACACACAGCTGGATACACACGTGCACATGGACATACTGTACATCACATATGGACACGTTCACACATGGGCACACCATCTATAACTTAATGTATTACATTATAACAATATATTCAATCTTTCCATATTTCGTGTATTTTTTAAGATAGAGACTCTGAGTCAGGATTCCTCTTTCAATGAGTATGTGCATGGCAAGACTCTTTAACAGAAACTTCTCATTGATTACATAGGTATCACACGTGTGCACACATGGACACACCACACATTAACACATGTGTGCATGCAATGAGTGTATGTGTACATATGCACACCTGCACAGGCTCACACATGCACACAACAGGACTTTCTGATGCATTAAGCAACTTCTGAAACTACTAAAAGACTCAAAGGAAACACCCTCTTCTTGGGTAAACTGAGATAGAAAGGAGGGAAGAGAAGAAACAGTGTCTGAGGATGCTATGGTTTAAATTCGGGGACAAAGTAGGATGCAGAAGAGAGAATTTACAACTGTGTGTGTGTGTGTGTGTGTGTGTGCGCGCGCGTGCGTTCAGCCTTATTTATAATTATGGAAAAGCAATTGGAAATGAAAACAAGATTCCATTCCATATTCACTGGATTTGCAAAAATGAAAGCATGTGACAACATTGCATAGTGGCACTGGACTGGCAAGGGGAGGACTGAGCACTATCATCAGTGGCTCGTGGGGCTGTCACAGCTTCAGTCACCCCGGAGGACAATTCACAGCATCAAATAGAGATGAAAGACCCAGAGACTCCACTTATTTACACCTATTCTGGAGATACTCTTGCACATGAGCAAACAGGTGCTTCAGAGATAAGCTGCAGATTACTGAGATTACTGCAGCAGCGCTTGTAATCATGAAAGGCTGGCATGGCCTCAGAGGGGATGCCGAGCACCTGCCCAGATCAGGACCCCTCTCCCTGGAATTACCCTCAGAAGTCTATACAGACCAACTTGCCCAGGTCCCATCCATTCCCTGTGGACAACCTCCAACTGAGAATGTCATGAGGGGAATGAAGTCTTGGCTCTGGCTTCAATTTGAGATGACTTTGAAGAGACAACCCCACTCCTCTCGGAATTGGCTGAGGTCCCGTGGCGGCTGCATCACCCTCAACCTTTCCTTCTCTCTGTGCAGTCCAAGGCCCTCCCCTCCTAGGCTGCCACCTGCCTGCTTCCTGCAGCCAGTCCCATCTCAGTGTGTTTCACTGGAAACCAGAACTGTGACAGACCAAATATCCATCCGTCAGCAGAGAGCTGACTAAAGAGTGACATATGCCTATGGTGACATAATGTAGAGCCATGGGAAATCACCCTACTTGACGCACATGGCTAGATGTCAAAAATATAGTGCTGAGCAAAACAAGCAGGCTGCGGACTGGCATGTGATATCTGGCACATAAATAAAAACGCACAGAATGTCTGTGTTCCAAGGATAAGCCTATATATAAGGAAGTAGTTTATCAAAGGACCAGAAAGACACACAGCAAATGTCAGGAAGGAGAAGAATGTCAAGAAGACCTGTCTCCTTATTGATAATGGTCTTTTTTTCTACTGTGATTTTGTAGACTCCCTAAATGGAAACGAGAATGGAAGTGAATGAACGGGTATTGAGGGCAGGTGGTTCTGGGTGATGGTGCCCCCCCCCCGACCACTGCACTGATGTCTTCATGCCTGATGTGTCTTACTGACCTGTTAGCTCTTAGGAGAGCGGTTAGGCAGAAAGCTGCGGAGAGAGGTCTCAAATTCCAGGCACTCCTAGTCTCCTAGTGTTCTGAACTCACACACTGACATTTGTCCTCAGCTGGGGAGGGGTGACATCCCTAGTACTGAGGGCATTTGGAGGTCTCGGCATAAGTAAAATGAAGCTGACCCTGAAAATGACTCTTGGAGGCAACAGGCTGTCCCAGGCCAACCCTGACACAAAAGGGGAGGGAGACCTACCTCAAACGGCATGAAGCTGCAAACATTTCTCAAATCCCCGACAATGCCCGAGGTGTGACAACCTCATGTGAGCCAGGCGGTGAGTGTGTGAGTGCTCAGGACCCCCGCATCGCATTTGAATCCTGGAGGCCAGGCTGCACCCTAACTTCTGGCACCTTTTGAGGTCATCTATGTTAGTGCCTGGACTATTCTTTCCTTCCCTGGACAATGCTCCCACCAGGCAGTGCTTGAGCCACCTCTTCCTCTGGTTCAGTGGCCACCATCCTAGCTTGCTTGCCTGGCATGGCTCTGATTAATGCCTACTGTTCCTGTGGAATGGGTACTAGGGCACTGGATGATATTATGCAGCATCCTCAGTCAGGGGCAGCTCAGAAGCCAACAGCAGAGGCCAACTGGAAGCAGTGGGGTAGCTGGCAGGCATGGCGAGGAGGGTTGGCCCCGCCTCTGTTCAAATCCAGGTCATGTACCGGCTGCATGGTCACAGCCAGGGGATGTGGCTCACTGGGTCCTTGCTCATCATCCACAAAGTGCCACATACACAAATGCTTCGTGGGTTCTCGGGAAGCCTGCACTTCCATCCTTGCCTGCTTCTCTTTGTGTGTAATGATCAGGAAAACGTTAGAGCTACTCAATCCTCTGTCACCTGAAACCTTTTTGTTCCTCATTCTTTTTTCTCTTCCTCCTCTTCATTGTCTTTCCCATGCTCTCCTAGTGCCATCGGCCTTTCTACTCGTACCTGGGCTGGAAGTTACCACGCACACACGCCCACAGGCCCTCCACCCACCCTGCAGCCACAGCCTCCCGAAGGCAAGCCAAGTGCCCCTGGCTCTCATCAGGGAAAAGATCCTGATGCCTGTTCATTGCTAGGGTTCAGACACATACACATGTCTGATGGGCTTAGGAGAAAGAGCAGGAAGAAACAAAAGGAGAGAGGCCACATCATAGAAGAACTTCCCTAAATGAGGATGGCACCTGGCCAGCAGGCCCTACATCACTGTGACTAAGAGTTGAGGCACAGTGAGAGGAGGGATGTATGCTTTAGAGAAATTCCAGTCATTTACACAGTGTGTGTGTCTGCCATCAATGAAATGGTATTTTTTTCTGGAATCTACTTGGAGTTCTGAGAAGTCAAGTGCTCTCTAAGCCAGGACTGTTCTCAGAACAGGGAGACTGAATATGGACGTAAGAATGGAGTGACTTGAGGAGCCAGCTTCCCGTCCAAGTGTCATTTTTGTCTGCCAGCTTTATGAGGTGTGATTGACACATAAAATTGCATATATTTATGGTGTACACATTGCAAAATGATTGAATCAATCTAATTCACATATCCAATACCTTACACATTTTGTGGTGAAAATGGTTAAAATCCACACTCTCTTGTAATTTTCTCTCTTTCTTTTTTTTGAAACGGAGTCTCGCTCTGTCACCAGGCTGGAGTGCAGAAGCTCCGCCTCCCGGGTGCAAGCAATTCTCCAGCCTCAACCTCCTGAGTAGCTGAGACTACAGGTGCGCGACACCCCACCCAGCTAATTTTTTTTTTTTTTTTTGTATTTTTAGTAGAGACAGGGTTTCACCATGTTAGCCAGATGGTCTTGATCTCTTGACCTCTTGATCCACCCGCCTTGGCCTCCCAAAGTGCTGGGATTATAGGTGTGAGCCACCGCATCTGGCTCTCTTGTCATTTTCAAGTGTACAACACAGCATTATTAACCACAGTCACTAAGCCGCACAGATTTCTGGAATTTATGTATCCTCTGCACCCTTTGACCAACATTTTCTCATTTCCCTTTCTTGACTCCCCGCCTAACACCTGATAAGCCAGTTTATGTGTAGACTCTGCTATGACTGTGCTTCTGGAGAAAAATTTTAACCTCTCCAAGCCTCAGTTTCTTCTAAGAAACAGCAACCATACTACCTGTGATAACTGATTTTATGTCAACTTGACTACCCTATGGTGCCAAGTTGTTTGGTGCAGCCCTAGTTTAGATGCTGCTGGGAAGGTATTTGGTAGATGTGATATATACTTGCTACCAGCAGCCTGTACATGAAGCAGATTATCCACCAACATGCAGGTGGGTCTCATCTAATCAGTTTCCTGAGGAAGAAGCAATTCAGCCTCAAGACTGCAACGGAGAAACCCTGCCTGTGTTGCCAGCCAGCTGCCTGCCCTCAAGACTGCAGCGTCAACTCTTGAATTTGCAGTCACTGGGGCTAGCACAATACATTTCAGAATTTCCAGCTCCCACAATCACATGAGCCTGTTCTTTAAAATGAGCATCTCCCTTTTACATCTCCCCTTTAAGGAGTCTTATGGGGAGATGTAAAACGGGGATGTTTATTTTAAAGAATAGGATCATGATATCTCTGGATTGTAATGGTTAAATGAGAACACACTGGGACAACTGGATTTCCATATGCAAAAGAATAAATTTGCTTCCTTATCTCATAGCATATACAAAAATTAACTCAAAATGCATCAAGGATCTAAATGTAAGAGCTAAAACTATGTATCCCTTAGAAGAAAATGTAAGGGTAAATCTTCATGACGCCGGCTTTGGAAAAGAATTCCTAGGTATAACATCCAAAGCAAGAGCAATGAAGGAAAAAGTAGATAAACTGGACTTCATCAAAATGAAAAAGCTTTTGTGCTTCAAAAGACATCAT